AGCAGTCATTAAAGAATTTGATAAAATCCCACTCCTATTCCTGATTTAAAATGGAACAAAACAGTGGAAAATGTGTAGTAAACTACAACTAGAGGAATATATTTTTATTTAATAATTCTTTGGTTAGCGTGTGCGTGCGTGCCCAAGATCCCGAGAGGAGTATGGAGTAGGAGGGAGTGGTGCGTGTCCGTCCATTCTTAGGTGAGAAAAGTTTGTAAAGTTACTAGTTCTCTCTAAATGAGAGTCACCTGAATCTCAGCTTTAACTGTATTAATGCTTAGCACATGGGACATAAATAAATGTTTTAAAAATGAATGTTAAATAAGTAAACATAATTGTAATAAACATCTTATTAGAATTGTTTTGACTTGACCAAATTATTTTAAAGTTCATCTAAAAAATTCTGTAAAGTTGAAAGTAAAAATTTGATAACAAAGACTAATGAAAGGATTACCAGATCAGTTATAGAAATATACAAAATATAAGTTATAACAATGGTAAGAGGACATAAGTAGATACATTAATGGAACAGAATAAGAATTTGAGAAACAATCTGTCACTATATGAGGACTTAGAACATGATGATGATGTTATAAGTGAAAAAGCATGAATTTAATAAATCCTATTACGACAGCTACAAAAAATGTCTCCCTACTTCTTTATGTACTCTGAAATATATTCCAAGTGGATGAAAGATCTAAATTTAAAAAATGAAACCATAAACATGTTAGAAGGAAATATTAGAGTATACAATATTTTTCTAAGTGTGACATGAAGGGCAAAAATTATGAAGGAAGAGATTGATAGATTTGATTACAGAAAAAAGTTAAACTTTCTAACGTCCCCAAACACCATAAATGATGTAAAGATAACTGACTTTCTTGAAAAACTTATTGAAGCATGTGTCATATTAAGGGTTAAATTCTCTACTATGCAACAGATGTATGGATGATGTCAATTCACTGATACCCAAAAGTCCAAATTAAAACAAAAGAGAATTTGTTTTATTTTGACCATCAAATTGGCAATTACCAACAACAAAAAAGGGTTCAAGAAAACTGACACTGCCGGTATATTGGTAGACGTGTACTTGATGGAGGATTATTTGGACATGGTCAAGAGCTATCCTTTAAGAATTTATCTTGCAGGCCAGCAGGGGTCATGGTGGTTAAGGTGCTGGACTCCCACATGATCAACCATGGTTTGAATCCCGGACTTGGTGGCTTGAAAATCACATGAAGTGTGTGTGCATGCGTGCCCAAAACTCTGAGAGGAGAATGGAGGAGAAAGGATTGCGATGGGGACCAGCAGTTAGCGTAATGGCTATGTCGCTGGACTCCTATGTAGTCGACCGCGGTTTGCGTCCCGGACCCCGTGGCTTAAAACTCACACTGGGCACGTGTGCGTGTGTGCCCAAGATCCCGAGAGGAGAATGGAGGAGAAGGGATTGCAGCCTGGCTCTCCCCCCTGGGTAGTGATTTCTCGCTTTCTGTCTCTCTGTCTCTCTCTGCCTGTCCAGTGAGCGCACACGCTCTATGGCAAAAATCTCTAAAAAACAAACAAAAAAAAGGATTGCGACGTGGCCTGGAAGGTGATTCCTCACTTTTCTCTCTCTGTCTCTTTCCAGCGAATGCATGCGCCCTGTGGCCAAAACCTAAATAATAATAATAATAATAATATATTGTAATAATAATAATAATTTATGTTTGATCTGGCAGTCATGTGGTGCTTAAGGTGGCTGGATCCCACAATGCTGACCATGTGGTTTGAGCCCTGGACCTTGAAGCTTTAAAAATATGCCAGGTGTGTGTATGTGTGTGCATGCCCACCCAAAATCCCAAGAGGAGAATGGAGAAGAAAGGATTGCAGCATGGCCAACACCCCTGAGAGGTGCTTTCTCACTTTTCCTCTTTCTCTGTCTCTCTCCAGCAAGTTCATGTGCCCTATGGAAAAAAGTTTAAAAATAAATGAAAAATAGTTTATCTTAAGGAATTTCCATGAATATCTGGAAACGTATAGCTACAGTGATAATTATTGCAAACCAATGGTAACTCAGTGGTGATCATTGTAGTGTTCTTCATAATATCAATAAATTGAAAACAACCTAAATGTGTTCCTATAGGTAGTTAACTCATTTATAGTAAGCCATATAGTGGGGTACTGTGCATTATTAGAGGTAGTGCTGGGAAATATGACGATTCTGTAGTACTTTCCTCTTATGCAGGAGGCAGTCCATCTAATAAGACCAAACAGATTCTTCAAAGTAGTGAGAAAGAAGGCTAAGGAAAATGTTATTGTATCTAAGTTCTTAATTTTTATCAGTATCTAAGGAAGCCAGCATATTAGTCAAGAGTTTTTGTGATGGAGTGTGATACAGTTGGAACACATACCATCTTCAGTTTGTCAACTGATTACACCTCTAAATGTTGATGCTGTTTGTCAGAGGCAAGTAACTATTTATCTGTTTATAGTGCAACAATTGGGTAGGTCAATCTATAGCTTAAGCATTTTAAAATTTAATATTTGTGGCCAGCAGATGGCATGATGATAAAGGTGCTGGACTCCCACATGGTTGAATATGGTTCAAGTCCTGCACCTGATGGCTTGAAAATCATGACAAATGCTTGTGTGTGCATGCCTGAAATCCAGGGAGGATAATGGAGAAGGGATTGAGGTGTGATCATCCCCCTTGGAGGGGTGATTTCTCACCTTCCCTCTCACTGTCTTACTTTGTTTTTCTCTGGTAAGTGCACATGCCCTGTGGCAAAAACCTAAAAAAAAAAAATTAATATCATTTTTTTGTTTCACAGTGAAAACTCATTTTGATTATTAATAATACCTAAGCTGCTATAAGATGAATGTACAATATCTGTTAGCTGTTAGACTTAGTAGAAGTAATTTAAGCCAAGGTAATTACTATTAAAAAGCCATTGAAACCAATGAATGCATTATATGTTGGGATTAATAATTTCACTACTTCTTAAGGGTCCTCAGATTCTGTGTCTTCAGATGAATATACCCTGAGGAGCAATGAAAATGATGATGGACAATCTCTGGAAGAAGCATCTGTGTGGGGAGCACTGTCTAGTTTTTTCTTTCCAACAAGTAAGTTCTTGTTTGATTTTTTTCCCCCCTAACATCTTTGGTTTGAAAATAGTAAATGTTAGGAGGCAGCTTCATGTATTGACACTGGGGTGAGACAGATTTGAGTTCGAATCTTGACTCTGCCCTTTGCCTTAGGCAAGATAATCTCTCTGAATCTCAGTGTCCTCATCTTCAAAATGAATATATTTACCATAACAAAATTGTGAGGATGAAGTGAGACAATATATGTAAGGCATTTTATAAATGTGTTTTAGTCTTTATAAAATATTTTTCTTTTGCAAGTTATCTGAACCTTTTATGATTTACCTGAATGGCATTGCCTGAAATTTAGTCTAGGACCCAGTATTGTGAAATCAATGTCTTGTTTGGCATTAAGCAGGATACTGTGTGGCTCTGATGTTATGGAATATACCAGATGTTTTCCCATCTGTTTTAATGATAAAACGTCCAGATTTCAAGTCACATCGTCTTTTTGTGATTCTGTATATAATGTGTTTATCAAGCACATGATGACCCCTGAGAATTATTAACTACAACTGAACACGTTTCATTTTGTACAACATGTGGCATCCTTTCAAGGAGAAGCCTCACATAAATGAATTATAAAAATAAAACTTCTATTAAAATGCATGCAAAATTATCTAACAAAATTTAATACATGTATCTAGGCACAAAATTCTATCTATTGTTTAACTCCAGACCCTGCCTCTGACTTTTTCTTTGGCCTTACATAAATCCCTTCATGTTTTTCTGTACTGGTTTCACCAAATACAAAATAGGCATTATAAAACTTACCAAAACAAACTAGTTTCTTAAATTCAAAATATGGGACACAGAAATGGATTGTTGCCTGTTGATGATAAAGTGTGTAGTATCCTCAACTGGACTGGTGTGAGGTGTATTCATGTTGGGTAAATTCACTTTACAATTTAAGCAATATATTGTGATTAAATGTAAAAAATAAATTAAGATCAAAACAAAACAAAACAATGCCATGGTAAAATTGATGGGAGGGGAAAGAAATATGGGAAGATAGTATGTTATATAGGCTAAAAGAATTGTTTCATGAATGCCAAAGTTGCTCATAAACTATGAAGATGATTTAAGCCTTAGAGCTTATGAAAATAGCAGATGTAAACTATCACACAGTTACCTATAATAACTATATTATGCAACCACTGAAACCAGTTTTAAAAACAGTCCAAATATGATATCTGTTTCTCGAATATTTCTTTAACCTGGCACAGTAAATTGAGTAAAAATTAATTGTATGAAATAAAAGTTTTGTCCAAAAAAATCAAATTTTCCATTTTAAGAGAAATAGCTAACCTAGGTTGATTCAAATCTTTGAAAACTAATTAAATATTGTATAAAATGGACAAACTATCTTTGGAAAGAATAACTGATCTTTGAAAAGAATAACTGAGTTCATAAAATGTGAAATATTTTTAGCCCATTTATCTCCTCCCCTGTATAATTAAAAATAAACACTCCTCCAACTTAATCATTACAAAAAAATCTGTTGTCATTAGGGCATTGTTTGTAAAATATTTATCTCTTGAAGATTAAAATGATAACTTTGAGAAAGGCTGGCAGGGAAGCTTGAGATTTACCTGATCTTTCTTCCTTTGGACAAAATTATATTCTTAAACTTGATAATAATTATTTTAGCTCTTTTTATTCTTTAAAATTGCAAGTGTCTCTCAGTAATTTAAATCTGAAAATTAATTTTTAAAGAATTATTTTATTTATTATTAGAATTATTTTATTTGTTGTTATTACTTTTACATTTTTTCTGTAGGACATGTGTACTCACCAGAGACAGAGAGAGAGAAAGAGAGAGAGAGAAAGTGAAAAAGCAAGCCACCAAGTCCAGGATTCAAACCACATTAGGCCATATGGGAATCCAGCACATTAAGCACCACACCACCTGCTGACCCCCAAAATTAATTTTAATATCTAACATAAAGTCCATTAAATGCAATTTAAATATAAAATAAGAGAAGAGCAATATTACAAGGGACTTTAGAGATCATCTAGTCCAGTCTGTTCCATGATTTATATCCTGTGTTTAGCATTTCTGGAGAGTGAAGAGTATTTTCGTTTGTTTTTGTTTTTTAGTTTTTTGTCATAGGGTGTATGCACTCACCAGAGAGAGACAGAGAGAGAGAAATCAGGATATCACTCTCCAGGGGCTCACTGTAATATATTCTCTTCTCAGTATTTTGGGCATACAATCACACATATGCTGGTATGATTTTCAAGCCACTGGGCCTGGTACTTGAACTGTGGTCAGCCATGTGGGAGTACAACACCTTAACCACTATGCCACTGAAAGTGGTGTTTTGAACATTGTTAGTGGTTAGAAACTCAGCACACACAAAGTCTGTCCCATCTCTGAGTAGTTCCTGATCATTGTCACCCTCTTTTGGGTCTGTAACACCCACGGCAGAACATGCTATTCCAAATGCAGTCCAGCCTGGGGGAGGAGAGTCACTTTGGGCCTGGCAGAACTGAAAAATAGATTACTAAGGGTCTGTAACAATAAAGTAGGCTAAACTCTCACCTGTCTAAAATGTTTAGGATATGAATATCCATGCCAACTAGTAATGCATTAAGTCTGTGACCTTGCACAAATTACTTTAGTATTTTATTTCCTCATTTTTATTTACTTTTTATAAAAAGTTTATTTATTTCTTCCATGAGAGAGAGAAGTAAAGCAAAAAGAGAAGTAGACAGACAATTGGGTCTTCACTCAACTGTCCACCCTCAGCCTTGGCCAGCTTGGATCATAGGGATCGTAGGCAGACATGTTTGGTACACAGAGAGACCTTCGGACACTGACCCAGGACCTTCCTATGCAGGTGTAGCATTGCAGAGCATTGAATTATTGCTGGCCCATAATTCCTTATTTTGAAAAATAGGGTTGTAAAACTCAGTTTGGGAATTTGTTGCAAATATTAGTAGTAATGTATGTAAAGCAAAGTGTCAGGCCCAAATAGGTGCTTAGTGAATGGTAACCATTATTTTTATATTATTATTATTTTAATTTGTTATAGGGCCTATGAGCTCACTGGAGAAAGAGAGAGAAAGTGAGAAAGTACCCCCTGGAGGGATGGCCATGCCATAATCACGTCTCCTTTATACTTCTTTCAGGATTTTGGGCACACACACACACATGCACCCAGTATGTTTTTTTTTTTCTAACCATTTTTTTTATTTCCTGGGATCATAACAAAATAATAATTGCAACTTTCATGTGCACAGCCCTAATTTAGAGCTTGACATACCTCCAGAGTACCTCATTTGATTGCCTCAATGGCCTGATGTGTCAGTAAGCCAGATACTGCCCTCACTTGACAGATCAGATGCTCATGTCCATAATGAGGAGATGACTTGTCCAAGGTCATAGATGGGAAATCCCAAAGCCAGGCCTTGAGTCCTGACGTTTTGTGGCTAAATATTATGTTTTATTTACTACTCTTAAAAAACATACTGGGTGGGGTCATGGCGCCCAGTATGTTTTTTAAGCCACTGGGTCTGGGACTCAAGCCATGCAGTTGACCATGTGGGATCCAGCTGCCTTAACCACCATGCCACTTGCTGACCTTATTATTTTTACCTTTATTTCAGGAATTGCCAATCTTTTTTAGAGAGATTTTTGCTGTAGGGCATGGTGTGCTTGAGATGGAGAGAGACAGAGAGACAGAAAGCAAGAAATCACCCCCCCCCCAGGGGGATGGCCATGCTACAATCCCTTCTCCTCTATTCTCTTGGGATTTGGGGCATGCACGTACTTGTGCCTGGTATGAGTTTTAAACCACTGGGTCCGGGACTCGAACTGCAGTTGACTATGTGGGACTCCAGTGAAGTAACCATTATGCCATCTGCTGGTCTCAGGGATTGCCAATATTTAATAAAGAGGAATAGAGTAAGACATTATTATATTAACATTAGGTTAAAATAGAATTTAAACAATTATGTTGTATTTTGTTGACATTAAAGTACTTTGGAGTGATTATAAAGCACTAGTTATTACTTTAAATCTAGAGTTGTTGACAGTATAGGAGATAAAATGGAATCTAATCTGGCCTTAAGACATACAGAACTTCATCTTAAGACATATGGGAGGACTTCAGAAAAACTGGAAAAATATTTATTTTTATTTTGGTGCAAAAAACATGAAATTCATGTATCATTTTTCATAATACACATTTCTCATGAACTTTGTGAAAACTTCTTATACTGTTAAGGTTTTTCTTTTTAAATAAAAATCTGATATTGGACTTTGTTCTTTTTTTTCTCTTATAAACCGGGCTATTTTAAAAAATCAGCTATTTAAGCTTGCAAGTTTTTTAGATTCAGATAAGTATGGATTTATTTCACTTGCGTGAATCTTGATATTTATGCCATAAATCATTGACTATTCAGAATTATAGAAACATAACTTAAAGACAAAAAGAAGAATCTTAAAATGTATTGTGGTGCCAATATGATAAGTATTCAAAGAAAGTAGGTCAATCCCACTAGTATTGTTTCCTTGTTCTCTAGCAGTAAGCCATGTGAATTTTAGTTACATTCGTTCTCACTGATGCTTTTGGTGAGTTTCTGTAGTTTAATAAAATTCAGTAAGAGAATATCTGCAGTATTATTATTATTTTTTAATAAGTATTGGTGGGGATATTATTTGACTTTATTTATTATTATTATCATTATTATTTTCCAGTTTGATCAGAGAGACACAGAGAGAGAGAGAGAGGAAGTGAGAAAGCAAGCCACCAGGTCCGAGACTTGAACCGTGGTCGGCCATGTGGGAGTCCAGCGCCTTTAACCACCATGCCGCTTGCCAGCCCCTCTGCAGTATTATTTTAACAGTGTGTCAGTTTTTCTTTTTTTTTAAGGTTCTTGCCATAGGGCACATGTACTTTCCGGAGAGAAGGAAAATGAGAAAGTACCCTCCAGGGGGAATGACCACACTGCAGTCCCTTATCCATTTTCTTCTTGGGATATTGGGCACGCATACACATGCACCCAGCATGATTCTCAAGCCATCAGGTCTGGGACTTGAACTCTGATCGGCTATATGGGAGTTCAGCTCTTTAACCACTAAGCCACCTGCTGGCACCAACAGTGTATCACTTTTACTTTTTAAAATTTTTTAAATTTTTTAATTTTTTAATTTCTCTTTTTTATACATTCAATCACATTTTTTAGCTTATGAAGTGAATATTTTAATATGTGAACATTTCTTTCTAGTCCAGTTGATTAAATTATAAAATATCTTCAGATAATGCCACATTTCTTTGTCCCATTAATGTTTTGCCTCCAAATTTTTCTTCTGAATGTCCTTCCTCAGGCCCTACTCTTCCATACACACTATACCTGGTATTTACATGGGTGTTTGGCCTGCTGTTATTCACTTCTCTATTATATTTGTATCACCACCACTCAGCTCATGATTTATAGCCCTTTTTAAAACTACGTTACAATGATCTGTTAACAATTGTATTAATACTTTTCTGCAACTCATCTAGAATTGAAAAAGTGATGTTAAATAACTTTGGTAATTTTCAGTTTAACTTTTTTTTAGCATTTATTTCATCTGTATACATCAATGAATCTTTTAAGTGTATTAGCTTAAATGTTTGTTTTTCATATTTTTGCCTTGTAGTAATTATTTAATTAAGAAAAGTACTTCTTAACCATGCTGAATTATCTTCTTGGATTTCTTTTTCCAAAAGCATGCATTGTAAAGGAGAATCAGGTGGTAAAACCTTGCAGGAAGGCACAAGATATTAAGGAGAGTGAATGTCTGAAATACAAATGCTGTTTTTCTTCAGTTGTGGCCAGTGACTTCAGTTGCTTTTCTCCAATAAGAGACAGTAAGTTTATTGTTTTTCATTTATTTATGTTTGTAAAAATTAAATAAAGGTCACAATGGCATAAGTTCACATGTGGATCTTGCACACTTAATGTGGATTCCTGGTCCTAGAGAAGTGCCGTCCTTAGAAAGTTCTGAGGTGGACAGGGTTTCTGCAATTTCTGCTTAGCCTGTGGTCGTTCAAAATCAGTCACACCTGTACTCTTGTTTTAGTCACTCTCTGTCTTTTGTTCCAAAGAGTTCAGGTTCTATAAGGTGTAACCCTCAATGTCTGGGAAAACACACCAATTTAGACATGCCCTAGCTTGCTTTTCTTTTCCCAACTTCTCTTCCTGAGTAGAATTCTCCTCATTTATCCCTTCCTTAGCATCTCTGTATATAGCAGTAGACTAAATCTTTCTTGTTAAGGTCTGTTTATTAGTTTTTCTTTGTTCTTTTGTTTTTAAACGAGATTTTTCTTGTGTAATTCTTTTTTATTAATGTTTTGAAAACCAGACCATCTGTTTTTGCTACCTTCATTTGGACAGTGAGGATGTACTACCAATTGGCCCCATGATGAACAGATTTGAGATGATGAAACACTAACAAATATCACAAAAAGGATGCATGCAAAACAATATCTTAGGTTAATATAGCCCCCATTCAATTTACAGCTCTTTGTTGAACATGTAGCATTAATAATGGAAAGTAAAACCTGATCATGAATATAGAATTAAAGTTTTAACACTGTCACATGGTATTTTTAATTCATTCATCAGTTTGGTCCTTACATTATGTGTGAAGAGACATTTGGTTTGTGTAGAGGAAAAAAAATTGAACCATGACTTATAATTCCCCAATCACATTAGAATGCATTTCTTAGTGAATATAAGACTAAAATATTCATATTCACCTGCAAATTCTTTATTCCTTGTATAATTTAATGTTTTGTAATTTGGAAGTAAACATTTAGGAAGCTATTTCTTTACCCAGTTAACTGTCACAGATTAATTTGCTCTTTGAGTGCTCTAGGATGTATAACATATGGCCAAGGAAAAAGCACACTTAGGGCCTGAGGAAGAAATATATCCTGTGCATCTTAATAGCCTGTTAGCAGAAACAGTAGGATCATTTTGTTAAGGCTGCCATGGGGGGCATATATTGGAAGTATAGCCTTTAGTTGTGTTTCCAAAACATTTCATAAACTCCTGCTCCTTACAGAATAGCAAGAGTATTTACCTGCCATATAAGAATGCCTTCTTGTTTTGTTTTATTAACTGATAGATTTTTTTTTTAATAAAGACTTTGTGAAAGAGCTCAGATTTGTTTTTCTTGCTTAAGTCATAAATTTAACAGGATATAATTAAACAAACAGAGCCTACACAGATGTTCCGGTTGTTTGGACTTGGTGTGATCAGCATGATCATCCTGGGATGTCTGCTCATTTGTTGCTGCTCTCTTTGCCAGAGGAGGTAGGCAAACATAAACTTTTATTTGCTTGTTTCTGAGTGTACATGGCTATTTGTGTGTAGATACATTTATTCATATGCTTCAGAAATACGGATATTATGTTTGGGTCCCTTTTGTTGAAAATAACAATCTTGGGAAAACCTAGAAGTAGAGTTCCCACAATGTTTTTTAATGCATGCTATTTTATTTTTCCATACATTCAAAACATCCTTTCACATAATGTTTGTACACTCCTTCATCAAATGAAATCCAATTAGAAGGAAAAATAAGTCAGCGATGTGGGAGTCTATGACTTGGGGTGGCTCTTAACCTCAAATCAGGAAGATGTCTGGAAATATTATTCTCCACCAAATCATTTGCCATTGGCCTTTAATTATCATCTACCATTGGGTCTTCAAGCCTTGTGTTTCTGTATGCCAATTTGTACTAGATCTCTTAGCATTTTAAACAAAATGCCAGTGAAATACTAGCTTGGTGCTTCCAAGTTTGTTCTTTCAAATAGCTTTCCACTTGAACAGAGCGAGTGTGGAGGGACGGAGTGGGGCCAGGACTAAAGTGAGGTGAATGAAGCACTAAGAGCACAAGTGATAAGGAAGTACTCATCTCAGGTTTGTGCAAGTACAGGATAGACACTGTCATAATCCTGAAAGTATGTACCTCCTTAAATTTTCTGGTAAAGAGAAGGTGCTTATTGAAGATTAAACATCTTTTATGCTTTCATTTGAGTTAATGGAAAGGTAATATTTTTAAAAGAATTCTTTTATTTAATTTTATTCATAATCATTATTACTATTTTTAAAATTTCAACAAAGACAGATATGGGGGGGGGTGTGAGAAAGCAAGGCACCAGGTCCAGGATTTGAACCATGGTTAGCCATGTGAGAGTCCAGCCTTAACCACCATGCCACATGCTAGTCTCAGGAAAGTAATATTTAAGTTGCCAAAAAATGGTTTAGTGTTCACAGGAAGATTTACACTATATACATGTTACTCCACTTTCTGTAAAGATCAAATGTACTTACATCACCTTAACAGGTTAGTTCAAATCTAGTTCGGTCACAGCATTTCAGCTATTCCACTTGCATTTGATGTTCAATTCTCTCTGATTTCACCTAGTTTCATATTCTGAGTGAGTACTCTCTATTTCTTGACTTCTCCCTTTTTCCTGAAGATTGGGAGTAGGAGTGGGATTTTTTACCCTTCTTTTTCTTCATTAATGGTTTCATTAAAAAAATAATCCATGAACAAAAATGAAATAACATTTGCTTGAAATTGGTGGACAGGATTATGCCATGCAATTTAGAGGGTGTCCAGGATAATAAGCCTGGTATAATAACTTCATTATGGCCCCTCTGTTATTCCTCTGCTGAGGAGTTTTATGGGAATAGTTCAGGTCTGTTGATATCTTTTTTCTCTAAAATGAAATCCAAAGGATTATCCCCTGATAAAAATATTTTTTCTACTTTCTGTGTCATACAAGCTGCTCGAGAGACTTGAACGATGTGAATGATTATTTATATTGAACACCACACATTTTGACTTATGTTTTACTTCTTTTACTACTTTGTAGAAGACCAGCTCTTCTGTCATTCTGAGCTGCCTATCACCACCCCAGAGCACGTGACAATTTCAGCTTGCTGGTTAGCTGAGTTTCCAGAAATCATGATTAAGGGTGTATGGGGCATTGTCAACTTCTCCTGGCTAGCTGATTTTAGAGACAAAAGGAATAATTGTGTAAGAATGAAGATCCTATCCCCAATACCAAACACAGAGCTAAATGGAGGCCAGAGGCTGCTAACCCCCACTTCATGGAGGCCCGATACCTCATTAGAACCATCCTCTTAACACACTTCCTGTTCTTTGCCTCAAAGAAAAAAGAGATAAATAAAATATTAGAGTAGGTAAAATAAATAATCTCATTAAAAGGGAAACAGATGCAGTAATAAAATAAATAGGTAGTGGTTAAAAAGGAAAATAAAGAAGCCAAGCAGTTGTCTAAATCAGAGTAGCTAAAAGCCCAATGCAGATGTTAAGTAACATGATCCACTGCCAGGTTGGAAGAATTCTTTTGTGCTGTTTTTTCGTTTGAGAGAGATTTTTTGCTATAGGGTGTGTGTGCTCCCCAGAAAGACAGACAGAAAGAGCGAAATATCCCCCCAGGGGGGATGGCCATGCCACAGTCCCTTCTCCTCTATTATACTCTTAAGATTTTAGGCATGTGCGCACATGTGCCTGGCATGAGTTTCAAGCCACTGTTTCCAGGACTCAAACCACAGTCAACTTTGTGGGAGTCCAGCAACATAACCACTATGCTATCTGCTGGTCCCTCTTTTGCTTTTTTGACATTGGAAGATACCCTTAAGCTTTTCCTCCTGTTGGATCTTGTGCTGTACATTAAATACATTAAATATTTGTGTATTCCTTTAGGAAAGAATTGTTGTAACTCTCCTCTCGCCTTTAGTTGCAATCCAAAACAAATGATGTTTTGACATTCCCCAGCTCCTTTAATTTGGACAGTGCCCTTTATTTACAGATCACCTCAGGAGCTAACAGCTGGCAAAGGATGGAGGGATGAAATGTGAGAAGTAATCTGAGTGGTAGAAGTGAAAGCAGTTTAGGTGAAGAAGATAATTACTCTCCAGACCCAAATGTACTTTATTCTTTTGGTGCCTAATTCATGCTTTCCACTGTTGATCAAATTTCATTCAGTGTTTGCTTGAGCTAAGTATCGTGGAACATACAGAAACATGTAAGACATAGCCTTTACTTTTAAGAAACTTAAGCCCACCTTAAAATAAATCCCAAGCATAGTACATATAAATAACCATATGAGATTGGATATAATTAGTAACTAAAATGAATGATGGCAATGACTTTAAATTGTACATATAAATAACAATATGACATTGGATATAATTAGGAACTAAAATGAATGATGGCAATGACTTTAAAAAATTCAGAAGCAGTAGAGATCAGGGAAAGTAGGAGCGCCAGGGTAGGCTCTATGGTGGAGGTGCCATTTGAGTTGGATTTTGAGAGGAAGACAAGGTTTGGACTAGAGGGTGAAGGGCCTTACCACAGAATTCATTGTATTCAGAAAGGGTCTCATCCCTGTAGATCCACTAATTGCTTGTCATTTCTAAGCAAAGGAATAATCTATAACTGAATCTCTAGTTCACTTCTGCTTGACTGGAGCTCAGGAATGGTAAGAACTGGTTGCACATACACAAAGGGGAACAGAGAGTATTGGTGAGAAACCTTCTAAGAATTTGCTACTAATAGTCTTATTAAACTAGCATATAAGATGCATTTTGAAATTTATTGCATTCTTAAGGTTATATAAGATCTATTTTTATCCTCATTAGTAGAGATCAGAAACTTCATTAGGTTTAAGTGTCACTGGTAGGCTTAAGACTTTCTTAGAGGATAAGGAAGGAAAAGATCAAGTAGATGGGGACAAAAGGAAGCCGGAGTGGAGACTCTAGGGAGAGAGAAGGGGGGTGGCTGAATTGTCCCTATTACAGTATTAGGGTAATAGAATGCCAAATGACAGTGGTTTCTGATGCCAAATTCAGTTTCTCATCTTTATCTGTTTTTAGGCAAAACTTAAATCTCTGTGCATATGCCAGTTAAATAAGCATCTTTGTGTTGTATAATGATACGATACTTGAGTGTGTACATAGCTTTGGTAAGGTGGAAAATTTAAACATTATAATACCATTACTATTAAACACAAATGAAGTACATTTCCATGTTCTTTTTCTTCCTATCAGATTGAATTTGTAACTTTGAATTAGGAAAAAATTTCAGAATTAAGCCTGAAAATTACAAAACTATGTTTTCTTTCAACTCATAAAAAAGCCATTTTTTGTTAAAGGCTATAGACCATCTCATATACAGATGATGTAAAAGGCATATTCTCCATACTCTTTCAATGTTGCTACTTGCCAGATGGCTGTTATGGAAAATTTCTACACTTGAATAAATACTGCTGTGTGCTTCTCTGTATTATAATGTGATTTAAATTATGCTGATAGTCGAATGCCACTTATTTTCTTAGAATAGGAAGGTAAAGAATTGGGAATAAATGTGCCAAAAATTGCCTAAAAATCATCACCCATTGAATTTTAAAAAATAGACATTTACATTTTCAAATCTCCATGTTTGTGTGTTTCATTATACTGCATAATATGCTTAGTAATGTTATTTTTGAAAGATTTATGCAGTAATTAGCCAACTGCTGGAAGGTTTGAAGTACCTAGGATTATATACATATGAATTCAGAGGAAGGAAATAAAATCTGTACATTTTCAAAGTATGACTAGTCTATAAGGTTTTTGATAAAATATATTCGGTCGGTCAAGAGTGTGAGCAAATTGGAACTCTGTTCTAATGTGAATCCCTACAGATTTGACATTCGAATAATGCCAGTTCTTCTTGGACCCTGTTCAAGGAAGTTTAGTTATTGAAATAATAGGAGAACCTCATTATGTGTGGATTATATGTTTGAGGTGTTCCCATTGCAGGAACTCTAAGGGAAGCATTTTAGAGAATTCTGGAATAGTAGGTACTGTTAGAAAGAACAGTCTGTTACCAAGTAACTAATAACTTTGTTGCAAAACGCAATGGCCTTTTCTCAGTTCTCATCCAACTTGACCTTTTTGTCTCAGTACATTGTTGACTACTTCCTTCTTGAAACATTTTTGAGACATTCTTCTCTTGGATTTTGTGGTTCTCTCTGTCCTGATCCATCTCAGTCTGCTTTTCTTTTTTCTCCCAACTGTCCTTGTCTCTAAAACCCCTGCTCTTGTTTATCAGAGAATTTTAGAAGTGCATAGAAAAAACCATGTGTGTTCTAATTCTGTTTTTACCACCAGTTTCATGGGTGACTTTAATTTCTTTGGATATTGATTTTCTTATAAAATTAGAGACTTGAGTTAGACGATTTCTAAGGTCACTTTTTAAAAAGACACTTTTGCTATAGGACGTATGCACTCGCTAT